CACCGGAACGAGACTAACCGTTTCTTATAGTTTTTTTGGACGCTGAACACGAATCCGGTATCCAAATTGCTCCATCACGTCAAAATTTTAAGAAATTTGCAATTAAAGTTGCAAAAATTGCTATTTTCACGAACTTTGTCATGTTTAGACTGCAATCTAAAAAAAAAGTCATTTTCTGTTGAACTGTGTTAGTTGTTTACCAAATGCTGGAAGTGAGTTTATCAAATATAACACTTCCAAGCAACACTATCGTCATATGCCGTATATGTAGATAAGTAGTTGTCCATTTAGATAAATGTCTATGTACATATATGGCTTTCCTAGAACACAAGGTAATAGAACAAAGCGGAAGGAAACACGAAAGTTATCACAGTTGAAAAAGTTGTAGGAGCAATATGGGAATTCAATGCATTCGCTTGTTGCACTAAAAATTGTAAATAAGTCAAGTTCTTTATTTGCTACATAATTAATAAAAATTGATTATAGAAACAACGTGGGAATTTAATGTATTCGCTTGTCGCATTAAAAATCGTAAATAAGTCAAGTTCTTTATTCGCTATATAATCAATAAAAATTGATAATGGAGTAAACAGTAAAGAGATGATAAATCAGCTAACACGTTGTAAACCGAATAATTGTACCTTCGGTCGATTTAATTCTCGTGTAGAATTTGAAACAGAAAAAAGCGAAAGATTCCTACACTCACGCTCATAATGCGTTTTATAATTATCGTGCAATTAAACAAATAAATACGGAGAAACTGCATATATACAAAATATATATATATAACATATTATTTAAAATATTATATTATTGTATATATAAGCCCAGTGATATACTATTACATCAATATAAATCTGATTTAGTTCAAAGATTTCTTAAGAGTTGATTACTTGATCTTGGTCTTGGTCATCATTTTTGTATCTGTCTGGAATTGACTCTACTGTTATTTGTTTGTGTATGTATGACATATATTTAGGTGTGCATAGTTTATTAGTCATAATTCTTCAATGTCGGACGCTCGATCGAAGACACTCATGTCAGTTGAAGTTCAGCACTATATAAGATTTATGTAATGGTGCATGCGTGTAATATAAAGTCGGAACTGCATCACTGTCATTCACCTTGGATATTTATCCGCATATCTCACACGTGGCCATTCATATGTAAACCACAGAGGGTTATAAAAAGAAAGGAGAAAATGTTTTCTCTCTTTGAAAGATCTCCAATATCCTAAATGAAGTAATGCATATCAATAACTCGGAAATATATGTATATGTGAAAATCTCAAACACAGTTCCTATTTGTTTGCATTTTCATCTATTCATCTCTTATTAATTTGCATTATCATTATTAAAAAATCCTTTGGTATTATCATTTTTCTCTGTGTATATACACAGAGATACACCCCCATTATCACTAATGAGGTATATAGGCAACCACCATGCTTCCGAGAAACGTTTTCTTTCTTGTGTTCCATAGCACGTCAGTACTTATGCTTTTATATATATCTGTTTTTAGTTATCACTCGTTTTACTCTTCCTGGCCGATACCGAACAATTTCTTGCTTTGAAAAGAGGATATATCAGATAATGACAATTGCAAGTTGGAGATAAATCGTTCTTGAAACTCAGGTGGAAAATCATAATTATGAAACCTACTGCAAGAAACAACATGAAGGAAGTCGATAACAGTGAAATTGCAGAAAAGACCCTTGGTCATGACAAAAATTTTATACGTACTATGTTATATACATCAAAAATGGCCGCGGTGGACATCGAGTTCAATGATTTGACGTATGCAGTGCGAAGCTCTCGAAAAGGTAAAGGCAATCTCATATATATTTTAAAATTAATAAGTTAAAGTAACACTATAGAAAAGCCATAAAATATTATATGTACATACAATATATTGTATATAATAGAAAAAAAAAATATATATATATATATAATATATAATTTAATAATTTAGAGTTGCTATTAAATTATTAAAATTTAGAAAAGAAAAGCATTTTAGTAATGAGTGTTTGACTATACTATTTTCAAATTTGCAATTAGATAAAATTAAGAGACTAAATCGTACAAACTAATCTCTACAAAAAAAGATAAAAAATGCATAAAGTAGTTTATTCTGGTCTAGATAATACAATAGAGTTTTATATAATACTAGACAAATATTTAAATTTATTTAAAATATACCGCGTAAAACTAGTCGCATAAAAGTCTCATTAAGACATGTCAAAGGTACATACTTCCACGTGGTTTCGTCGACCCAATAGCCGCTCACTTGTAATTCAAACAAAGAATAGAGATTCATATACATATATCTCGGTTTTATTTCATCATTTTCCATTCAATTCTTGTTCTCATTATTGCTACAAACTGCAAAAAATGAGGGAGATTAAACATCAAAATAATGCTGCATCAAATTAAGGTTGCATTAATAAGATAAAAATATTCAGATTGTGTGATAATAATATTTTAAAAAGTTTAACGCGTATGCGCACACACACGCGCATACATGTACACAATAAGATATTTAATATAAATTATATACCTAATGACAAAGCATTTATATGTGAAATCATGATATAGTTGTGCATTTTAATAACAACGAATGCTGCTATTCAGACACATCGACAAATTTCTCCGAAAAACGGAATATAATCTAAAATTTAAAATCTTGGTATTTTTTTCCACGTTAATTAATAAATAAACAAGAAAATTTTTTAAATCGGTTAATTATAATTTTGTCTGGAAAAAATGATTCGCTAATCTATAATAGAGAATTTAATTTGCTACTTTGATGACAAAATTATTTTTATAAAATTGGACTTATGTCGGTATCATTCAAATAGTAAATTTATAGTAAAGAAATCGTAATTCTTTTATCTATAGTAAAAGTTGTGTGTGCATATATTTGTGCACATAATATAATCAGATACGTTATTTTAATACTCATCGTTAACGAGATAATAGTGAATTATTAACAATAACGAATAAAACCGTCATTTTATTTCATAATATCGAATGTGATATAAATTAGAGTGTACTTGTAAACTGTATTATGTTAATTGCTGGTAATATACTTCACATAATATAATTCACATAATCGTTGAAACATCGATATTAAAAGCAATGGTATTTAAAATTTTTTGAATTAGGCATTAATATATTAACATTGTGTATCTTAAAACTAGCAGCTATAAAAATAACTACTCAGTTTCACAATACAATCAATTTTGTTGATACTTTTTGTGAAGGATACTTTGAAATCACCAGTTGTTTAAGCAATCTCAAACACATAATTTCGATAAACGTATATTTTAGCAAGCATACGTAAAATTTCGTCGTTTAAAGTCTAATTGCGAAATATATCGTTACTTAACAGCTAGATATACGAAGACTAAACTATTCTCATCAACAAAAAATTCGATTAAAGTCATTCATGCAACCGAATGTATCATTTCTAACTTCTGCAATAAATTTACTAGAAATATTTAATTACAGGTAATTATGGAAGCTTTGTGAATAATAAGCAATTGCTGAGAGATTAATTTATCTTGTACGAAAAAAAATTGATGTATCAATTGTTATGGTCGATGGAATGACGGAAGAATGTTTCTTGCTTATCATGACGAATAAGGAATCATTAACGATAATTTAATACGAATGAATATAACGTGCAGCATATCAGTTGCGCTTTCATGTCACAAGTGGCATTATTCTTCTTGTGATTGTATAACAATGACTCTCAAAAATTTATTTTATAGCGGTGCACTATTTGCGACGCATATAAAACATAAACTTTATCGCTATTGCTACTCTTCACACAAACAATATATACTGTGTAAATTTAAAATAAAAATTCAAAAAAATTAAAAATAGAAAAATTGTACATAATAAATGTACATAATTTCATATATACATGAGATAGCAACAGTCAAGTCAATAAACGCGTTATATGAATAAAAATGATAGGAGCATTGCGAGTTGCGGTTGCTCTTTTCTCAAAGAATGCGGCTAGGGGCTGACAGACGCTAATGTAATGCCATTTAAATGTTACGATTTACAACAAGTGAAAAAGAATAGCCGTTTTGCAAGAATCGCTGCATAATGCATTATCTAAAGCATATAAAAAAATATACAGAAAAAGATTTCTATATTAAACAATAAATGTATTTAAAAATGGTATAAGAATAGTAATAAATTATTCTTTCAACAGATTAATAAAAGAGTTTAATGAATAACACAGGCATGCGAAATTAAAGGTGTTAAAAGTTGTTTGTGAATTATAGGTGGTTTCTTACGTAATTTTGTGCGCTGAATCAGTGATGCCAGAATGCCCACGCTAGCAACACGCAACCGTAATGGAGGGGATACGCACACAAGCAAAAACCGTGTACATGTAATGCGCAAAACGCTCTGTGCATTACATGTACACGGTTTTTGCTTGTGTGCGTATCCCTTCCACTACGGTTGCGTGTTGCTAGCGTGGGCATTCTGGCATCACTGCGCTGAATACGAATCTGGCCGCAGATATATCTCGGCGAGAAAAAATCATATGTTGGCAAATAAATATTGATTTCGAAGAGGAAGAATAGTACTATATGAAACCGTCGGTCAAAATATAAAAAATAAATTTGCTTTCTCCGTAATACTTTCATGAATATAGCCAAAATCATTATTTTTGGGCCATTTTACCTCATTTGTCTAAAAAATCTGATGTGATAGGCAAATTCTGCGGACAGATTCGTATTCAGCGCACAAAATTACGTAGGAAACCACCTATAATTTTCAAGCAACAAAACCTCGCAGATCTGTGTAATGAAATGACATAATGAGATACAATACATTATTTCAAGTGACAGTAAGAGCGCATATTTATACATATGATAATAATTTAGACAGGATAAATGATAATAATTTAGACAGGATAAATGATAATAATTTAGACAGGATATTTTTAACGTGATTTACTTCAAAATTTTATACATCATTGCTTCATTATCCCAATTGTAGGCCGTATGTCTGGTATATGTGCGTAAAAGTATTTCATATTTCTCTTTTCATTTTTAAAATTTGCGAATCTATCTTACAATATAAATTAGAAAGTATACGAGTATGAAGAAAAGAGCCAAAAACAAAACAATGATATTTGGGAAACGTATGTTAATAGCGTATTCTTCTCTTGCGTAACCTCGTAATCTGACAAAGCTAATGTTATAAACATGGCCGTGTAACTCGCTTATATGACTAAATGTACAATACGTAGATATAATCAAATCTATGTAGATATATGTATATATACTTTAAGAAAATTTTACTGATTATGATGCTTATATTTTCATTGGTATATCTCCACTCACTATTGCGGCGCAATTTATTCCTTATGTTTCAACTCTGTTTAACTTTTCAATTTGTGTATGTGAATTATGAAGAATATATTGATTTTGTATTCCTCAGAAAATTCTAATAACGTACAACTTGATAACTATACTAAGCAAAAGAAAATGAAAAAGAAAATGCTACTTTTACGATTGAATGACATAGTACATATCGTAAAGGAGTTCAAGGAGATATATAATACATGATGCTTTTCTCACACATAATCTCGCGTCTTACATAAACAGTTAGCAATAACCTACAGCGTAATAGAATCTTTCTAGGAAATTTTATCAAAATTTATATACGTTTATAATTGATGCAATTGCTATATAAAAAACAATTTCAATATTTTAGAGGTAATCGTCGTCTTCTATAAAGAAACATGAATTTGTACGTCAAGTGTCTTTTAATCATAAACAAAAACTTATTATTTTTTAAATATAATATATCATTCAATGTTTCGTCAAAAATTTGCAGAATCAAAGATGCTTTTAAAAGGAATTAGCGGACAATTCAAATCGGGTGAGATAACAGCGATTATGGGTCCTTCTGGTGCCGGAAAATCGACGTTACTCAATGTTCTCGCCGGATACAAGTACGTAATTGAATAATCATAAATTCAAATAAACCGTTGAGATCGTCCAAAAATTATATTGGCTAGTCTTATAATCTTTATCGTTATAAATTCAATTAATTATTATTTCTCGCAGAGAATCTATCGGCATTCATAATATTACATACAAAAGTCTGTAATTATATATTATATTATAAAATCAGGCCATCTTATTTCTTCTCATTACTTCTTATTATAATTTGTTTTTTGCGCGATTAAAATCAAATTATATTATATACATATATTACTACGCATGCGTATTATCAAAGATATCGTATATTTTACGACATTCTATATATTTCCATTTTTCCGATAATCTATATTTTTATATTGCACGATTATTTAGTAATTTCAATTTTCATTTATCTACGTCTGAGTTATAAGATCGTGTTTACTAAACAGTATATTGCAAAACGCTTAAATAACTTTGTGGTAGCCTATGATTATTAAGATTAAAAGGATATAGTTTTGGTTGAATAATTAAGAACACAGAAATTAACTTAGTAATCAAAAAGATTATACGATAGTTAAAAAAATAATTATATATTTTGTATCATAAAGTTGGAAGCGATAAACAACGGAAAATTTTGCTGCATTACAATTTATCATACAACATTAAAGCAGACATTCCGTATACAGATACACGGACACAAGTAGCTCAATAAATATCAATGGAAAGCCGCGGAACATGCAGGAATTCAAGAAGATGTCGTGTTACATCATGCAAGAGGATCTCGTGCAACCGAAACTTACGGTTATGGAAGCGATGTCCTTCGCTGCAGACTTAAAACTCGGCAGAAAAAAATCGCAATCCGAAAAACGTATCGCCGTGAGTACGGCCTTTCGTAGCCTATTATGACAGAATATTTTAACGGCCTATATGGAAATCAAGGATAACAACAAAACGATCGTTTCGAAAGAATAAAAGATCGAGGCGGAAAAGCGAATTAATTAACACAACTATACTTCTTGTTTAAACACACTTATTGTTAAAACATTTTTTAACAGTAAATTATAGAAAATCATTCAAGCATCAATTGTTTCTTATGCAAATCAAATTATATACATACATCTCTCTTCACTGATTCATTGTCAGACTTTTTAGCAATACTTTTATGTAATTATCAATAATAACAAAAAATTGATAATTCGTCTAAATATCTCATTTAAAATATTAGTTCCGTAAGGATAATATCATTATTAGTCTCGTGAAATCTAATATCCAATTAACATAACATTCCTTCACATATCAAAAAAGAAAAGATATTATAGATATTATGCGCATTTAGGCAGTAGATTAAATGTAATTTAAATCAAACATAGAATAGCAAAAAAAAACAACAAAAATTGATATCTTAGCATCACTAATTTATATAAGTCATAAAAATATCCACATTTTTAGAAGGTCAATACAACGATTGATTTTTATAGATAAACGAGATTCTGGCTACACTTCGATTGTCCGAAACACAAGACACGTTTATGGAACGACTCTCCGGAGGCGAAAGGAAGAGGCTGATAATCGGACTTGAATTAGTAAATAACCCACCTGTGATTTTTCTGGATGAACCGACCACGTGAGTATCGTACAAGATTTATATAAAATTGTTTGTCTCATCTTCTTATTTATAATATATACCCTAGCTTTTTATTCTCTTAAATGATTACATATATGACTGATCGTATTATAATTATAATAGTAATAAAGAGAGTAATCATATATATTTTTCAAATGTCTGCGTAGATAGAAAAACAAATTTGTCTAAATCATTATATTATTATTTCTTTATCCCAATATAATTATATCATTTTTTCTGCATATAAGTAATCACTTATACGCAAAGAGTGGATTTATTAAAATAATTATATGAAGTCATCACATGTTGCAGCTGTAAGATACATAAAAAGCAATTCTCAAATGTTTTGAAATTATATATAAACGTGTTAAATTCAAGAACGCAAAATATGAGAGTCTCGATAATTATCCGTAATTTTATTCTAAGATCGCAATTTATTGTGCGTTATATGTGAACCTTAGTATTAGTAGTGTCCACGTTGTAACTCGTTAGGAACTATATATTTAGATATCACGGGCATTTTTCTTTTACTAAATAATCTTAACTTATTAGATGTTAATTATCGCCTGAATAATAAAAAAAAGAAGAAGCTGATTTTTCTCAACATGATTATTTATGATGCAAAAAGTAAAAAATGCAATGAACAAGTATTTTGTATCTTGGATATATATACAGGGTGTCCCAGACCATCCGTACACCTCTTTTAAAATGAAAATAAATGGATATCAAAAATCGCGAACATCTTTTAAGTAAATCGGGTATGCTCTGTCGAATGGTGATATTTTCAACTTTTGATTCCGACCGGAAATACGCCATCCGGACCGGAATTTGAATTTTTTGAAGGGAACATAATACTTTTTATTACAGATTCGAATTGTACGTGAAAAAAATAAGAAACTTTTGTATCAAACGTTTTTTCTGAAAGTGCCTCTGCCAATCTTAAAATTGATCTTGAAAGTAACTGTCACAGTTGCTAAAAAATTCAAATTCCGGTCCGGATGGCGTATTTCCGGTCGGAATCAAAAGTTGAAAATATCACCATTCGATAGAGCATACCCGATTTACTTAAAAAATGTTCGCGATTTTTGATAAAAGCCATTTATTTTCGTTTTAAAAGGGGTGTACGGGTAGTCTGGGACATGTATATATATCTTTGAAAACATGAAGAAGCCTGTACATCGATAAACCAAGTATTTTGAAACACAAGAGAAAAGCAAAATATTAGAAAAATCTATATTATTATTAAAATAAATTTTGGAAATTGATTTATTACGGATAATCAATTATTGATTTTCTCAATCACAATTATAACGAGTATTATGAATCACGCATATAACTAAATAAATATAGATGTAAAAAAAACCGATTAATCATAATATTATTAAATGAGCAAACAAATTGAAGGAAATGGCGTAAACAAAACATTTACTCATAATATCTTCAAATTTTATTAGGAAATAGAATGAAAATAACATCTCGTCTCACGCGATATGCTTTCGTGATGAGATGACCGTAGCGCACGCGCAAAACTTTTCTCTCAAAATGTTTTAATATTGTAGAAGCATTGCAGAAAAGATTTATATTTTTTTCAGCGGATTAGACGAGTTGTCCTCTTTTTATTGCATCGATAGTCTTCAAAAGCTGGCACGTTTCGGACGAAATGTTATATGCTCGATACATACTCCCAGCGCAAGTATATTTAACAGATTTGATCACGTCTACATCTTGACTGCCGGAGAATGTGCTTATAGGGGCACCTCGGATAACGTATTGCCATTCCTACAAAGCATAGGTCTAGAATGCCCGAAGCATTACAATCCGGCGGACTTCGGTAAGTTATATGCACGTATGTTCTTTATGCAATCGTATTTTTCGATTTTCATGATTTTTTTCAATATTATTTTCAATATTTCCTTTAAAATTACAAGTCACAACATATATTAATGTCGCGTTCTTCATAAAAAACGCTTAACATTTTTCGTAGGAGATCTCAGAGCTTTAAGAATTCATACTTACAATTAGTTTAATTTCACATACAATCATAATGATATAATAATAACGCTTAGATATATCAGATCTTAAGGTGTAACAAATTCATATTTAATTTAATTTCACAATCATAATAATATAATAATGACGCTTAAATATATCAAAAGATGTTAAAATTTCGAATACTTATTCAGTAATAGAAACCTGCTCGGGCGATTATGGTTCCGATCTGATCGAACAAATGATTACTTGCGTCAAGAAGTTACCGATTCTTCCAATTTCTCGAGCGAAGTATGAACTCGAGCTTGATACGCAGAATCCGAAAGTCTTTTGGCTCGATCAATTCAAAACGCTAATCAAGAGAATGATATTGCAGCTTTATCGAAATAGAGTAAGATCGAACATATATTATATATTACATTACTAAATGCCAAGTGGATTTATATCGCAATTCAAAAGAAATTTGCGAATTCGAGAAAGCTTGATTCTAAAAAACTATATGTTGAATGAGCACATTCTTTTTTATATATTCACAGAATTACATCTATCTGAAGATATCGCTACATATTTTTTTGGGACTAATAATTGGCTTACTGTTTTTGAATATGGGCAATGACGGCTCCAGGGCCCTGTTCAATTTTGGCTTTTGCTTCGCGTGCCTAATAGTATTTCTGTACATACCCATGCTACCAGTATTAATGCATTGTAAGAATATCTTTTCTGTATATACGTAATTAGAATTGGTGTATAAATAATTAATTTAATTAATTTTTTGTTTGCAAAATTCAGTATTTGTCGGTATTATATTTATAGATATTCTGTTGAGTGAGAGAGAGCAGAGAGAGAGAGAGAGAGAGAGAGAGATGAAAATGTCTCTCTCTCTCTCTCACTCTCTCTTTCTCCGCAAAAAAAAGCATTCATTAAAAGCAATCAAAATATATAACATACAATTATGTTTTATAATATTCATTAATTGTTATCATGTTTAAACTTCGTTGAAAATGTCTCTCTCTCTCTCTCTTTCTACGCAAAAAAAAGCATTCATTAAAAGCAATCAAAATATATAACATACAATTATGTTTTATAATATTCATTAATTGTTATCATGTTTAAACTTCGTAAAATCTTTTTAAAAAATAAAAAGGCAAAAAAATAACTAAATTATACTCTATTAACTATATAAAAATCAGCTTATGATTGTATTTTATCTCAATATTCTTTCGTTACAGTTCCTCGTGAAATTAAAGTAATGAAGCGAGAGTACTTCAACAGATGGTACAATTTTAGCGCATACTACTGGGCCATAAATGTAACTAGTATACCTATACAGGTTGGTTCCTTTGGTAAATTCTTTTTTGTATAGCATAGATATTTCATATAATAAATTACTTATTATATATCTTTATTACGTTAGACCTTTATCAAGTCGATCTAACTATTTAAAAAATTCTCTGGATCTTTTCTCAGATACTGTTAGGATTTATATATCTTTCAATGGTCTACCTCATTACGGGTCAACCCCTGGAGTGGCATAGATGCATCATGTTCTTTAGTACTTGCTTCATCTGCGCCTTCATCGGGGAGAGTATAGGACATAATATTGCTAGCATATTCAACTCCGTAGTATGTTTGGAATGATAATTATGAATATAATAAAAAAAAAACATTCTTTAAAATTATAGATATAACAGCAGATGTCTCTTTTTTTTATTTAGAATAGTGTGTTTATCGGGCCGGCGATAACTTGTGCCATGATTTTAACCTCAGTACAAGGTTTTGGAGATTCCACTCCTCTACCAATTTATCGAACGTTATTCATGTATGCCAGTCATATTCGATATGGACTGGAGGCTCTCACAGTAGCCATATATGGTTTTAATAGACCGAGATTACCTTGCCCAGTGGAAGAAGTGTATTGTCATTTCAGTTCGCCCAAAGAGATTTTTCGAACAATAGGTAAGAAACTTCATAATAATACTCGAGCTAATTGTTTTGAATCGTTCATTTTAAGAGCTGTTATATACGCGTATCACATTTATATTCTGTATTAACGATTTTTTCTATTTTATTTCTCAATAATATATAAATATTCGAGATATTAAAGTAACATCTTATCTGTGTGTTTCGCAGGTCTAGAAAATGCTCCAAATTATTGGCTGGATATGCTAGCTCTTATTATTATATTTATTATTTGTAAGGGAATGTTATATTATTTATTGAGGCAAAGAGTGCAACCAAACAAAACTTTTCAGATGCTTCAGATAATCGGGAAATATATCAAGAGCCATTTTAATATGTGATCATTAAGCTCAATGCTTTTAGCTCAATGCTCTCTAAAACAAATCTTAAATTTAAAATGTAATTGTGAAAAAAATACGATTGTTGATACAATGATATGTTCAACGTAATATTAATTGTTGTGAAAAAAATGATTTATATTAATAATATAAAAAATTGATAATCTGTTATAATTTTCGTTAAATAAAAGAAAGTAAATTACATATATTCTCTTGCAAAATTTATTTACTCCTAATTTTGTCATCATATTGTAAAATTCATATCTGTAATGACTTCAAAATAAAATAAGAAACTTTTGTATACAGAACTTTATATATAAAAGCAATAATTTAAATCATGCAAACAGAGTACATATAATTAGCGTTATAGCACTGTATCTGTACAAAAAGTGACTCTCCCGTTATCAAGGATTGTAAAATGAATTATGAAAGAAAATGGCGATGCCATCTAATGTTATTGCTATCTCTTTATTGCTCACAAGTATGTTAGGTTGCATGTTTGCAGAAATTTTTCTCTTAGAAGTTAATATAACACGGCATGATACCGTGATTTTTTTATTGAACATATGCGTCATGTCAGAACAATAAAGAAAATAGCAAGTGATAAGTATAGTAGATAAATGATGTTAGAAAATTCGATATGTATGGTTCGTGATGATACATCAGTTTCAGCATACTGATTTTAGCACACATAATCAAATATGATAATGTTATGATAATATCAATTAAATGCTCTCTTCCTAAATTAATCGTATGCACAATTTAATATTATCTTTTAAAAATTAAAAATAACTGTGTTTTTTGATTATATTAAATATCAAAAATAATTATTGAGAAAAATGTCATAATTATAAGAAAAATTTCCTAAAACAAAATTACAAAGTATAATTATGTAATTATAAAGCAACATTATGTAATAAATTACTTTGTGTAATTATATGTACAGTTATGTCAATTAAATATTCGTGACGCTTTTCAATTTATGTAGTATTTTCACGATACATCTGCTAGAATACTTAATATTGTCAAATTCATAATATTTCATCTTTTCACAATGAGGTCAAGTAAAGAAGACCATCTGCTACACATAATATTTCATCTTTTCACAATGAGGTCGAGTAAAGAAGACCATCTGCTACATGTAATATTTCATCTTTTCACAATGAGGTCGAGTAAAGAAGACCATCTGCTACATGTAATATTTCATCTTTTCACAATGAGGTCGAGTAAAGAAGACCATCTGCTACATGTAATATTTCATCTTTTCACAATGAGGTCGAGTAAAGAAGACCATCTGCTACATGTAATATTTCATCTTTTCACAATGAGGTCGAGTAAAGAAGACCATCTGCTACATGTAATATTTCATCTTTTCACAATGAGGTCGAGTAAAGAAGACCATCTGCTACATGTAATATTTCATCTTTTCACAATGAGGTCGAGTAAAGAAGACCATCTGCTACATGTAATATTTCATCTTTTCACAATGAGGTCGAGTAAAGAAGACCATCTGCTACATGTAATATTTCATCTTTTCACAATGAGGTCGAGTAAAGAAGACCATCTGCTACATGTAATATTTCATCTTTTCACAATGAGGTCGAGTAAAGAAGACCATCTGCTACATGTAATATTTCATCTTTTCACAATGAGGTCGAGTAAAGAAGACCATCTGCTACATGTAATATTTCATCTTTTCACAATGAGGTCGAGTAAAGAAGACCATCTGCTACATGTAATATTTCATCTTTTCACAATGAGGTCGAGTAAAGAAGACCATCTGCTACATGTAATATTTCATCTTTTCACAATGAGGTCGAGTAAAGAAGACCATCTGCTACATGTAATATTTCATCTTTTCACAATGAGGTCGAGTAAAGAAGACCATCTGCTACATGTAATATTTCATCTTTTCACAATGAGGTCGAGTAAAGAAGACCATCTGCTACATGTAATATTTCATCTTTTCACAATGAGGTCGAGTAAAGAAGACCATCTGCTACATGTAATATTTCATCTTTTCACAATGAGGTCGAGTAAAGAAGACCATCTGCTACATGTAATATTTCATCTTTTCACAATGAGGTCGAGTAAAGAAGACCATCTGCTACATGTAATATTTCATCTTTTCACAATGAGGTCGAGTAAAGAAGACCATCTGCGACACATAATGTGAAATGAAAGAGGAACAATGGGAAAAGGTGGTGGTGGCAACTGCAGAAAAAGGTAGTGGGAGAATTGAGCTTATTTAGCTTCGACACTGCTCTCTCGGAGTCAATATCTACTCTCTCCACGTGGAACAATTTGTTCTCTTTTTCTAATAGAATGGCCAAGTATAATATTGCATTGTGTATCTTTTTGCTGTCTTTACTGTACATCACACATGGGTAAGTGAACTAACATTAATGTTCAATGATATTAAAATAAGTATTATTCAAAATATTATATAATTCGCTATATCAATATTCTGATAAATGAAGATAATGTGCGTTAGCATTAGCACACCTGAGCACATGCGCGTACAGATGTTAACGAATATTATATCGAAATGCTTAAAAGTCATTTAAAAGAAAAGTCTAGCGAGAAATATACCAATGTCAAAGCGCATATATAGCTTCCGAGAAATTACTTAATGACGAATTAATTAATATTCATAAAATGAGCTGTTCTATATTTAGATCTTCCTAAACTCAATTGGTCAAATAATTGTAACTGGAAACTACACAAATTGCCTTATTAAACATTAGAATAACATAATATTATCTAATCGCCTAATTAAAATTAAATATTTTTTGATACACAAAATATAAATAAATTAATATAGATAATATTCAAAAATATTTGCATCACGTTCTGATGCAAATCGCAATTAAAAAAAAAAAAAGATATTTCAGTTTCATGTTTTTAATCAAAAATTCGAAAATCAAAAATGTAGGAAACGAAAGTCCAATGAATTTGATGTCCTGATATTTACTCAAGTATGGCCATTGACAGCTTGCTTTGTATGGAAAGAAAGTTCCGAGAAACACAGTTGTTCGTTACCTAAACGAGATGAATGGACTATCCACGGTATTTGGCCGACGAGATATAATACGTTAGGCCCAGAGTTTTGCAACAAATCGCTGCCGTTTAACCCAAGCGTTCTAGCGCCTTTGGAAAGTCAATTAAAAGAGAACTGGAAAGATGTTCACAACGGATCCAACCCTTATTCATTTTGGGGTCACGAATGGAATAAACACGGCACCTGTGCAGTTGTAATAAAAGAATTAAACAATGAATATAACTATTTTCAAGAAGGATTAAAACTTCTCGATATGTATAATATGATGGACGTACTTGCAAAAGCAAATATTTTACCAGGGCAAAAATATATGGTAGAAGATATGTTGGAAGGAATTCAAGGGGTATTGAACAAGAGAGGCCAAATAATGTGCGTGCACAACGAGGTAAATCTAAAATTATTTCGATAGAAACAAACGATATTTGTATAAATCGTTTTCTTACAGATATAGAAAAATAATTTAATATATTAAATTTTCTTATATAAAAGTTTATAGCTTCACTTTCTTTTAGAAAACGGGTGAATTGTATGTGAACGAGATAAGAATCTGTTTCGACAAAGCATTGCAGTTGGTAGACTGTGATGGCATTCGTGAATTCCCTACAAATTGTGATAGATCCAAACAGATAACATATCCTAGCTCCGTACCACACGATAATCGTGTAGTACAGATATAACTATAATAATAATAATATTAAAATCATTGTGTGTGTGTGTGTGTGCACAAACTAGATAAAAAATTATTAAATATTACATATATCACACATATATGACATATGCACTCAAAATAATTTGTCATGGTAAGAATTTAATAATAAATCTTAGTATATAAGAAAAATAATATAATTTAGCTTCCTTTTCATCATTAAAGAAATATTAAAAATAGGTTTTAGATTAAGACATTTACAACACAATTTCTAAATTAAATTATAGATGTATAAATAAAAAAAGCACAATTAGTTCAAATTATAATTAATGTGAGATTCCCAAACCTGTTTTTCTATTATCATCTAAATTTTTAATCATTATGCTATTCATAAAGAAAGAGATTACAAAGAAATCAGAAAGAAGTTTGCATACTACAGATAAGATTACCGATTGTTTATAATAAAGAATATCATTATATTAGCATGAATATCTTATAATTAATCTGTATGATAATATACATTTTTTGCTTACAAATTAGGGCATCACTGGCTACATCATTCCACCTTCTTTTGGACGATTACAACTGCTGAAGGTACCAGACCTGCAAGTTAAATAAAAATATATTATGCTATCTTCAATAAAATAAAAAAGAAATTCATATTGCACTTGCAATAATGTCATCATTACAACTGACAGAATATTGCATAATATATTGCATAATATATTGAAAAATATTAATTGATAAAACTGCACTAATTGTATTAATAAATAATATTTTGTATAAGTTATATTATGTATGTATATGTTAGTGATCAATGTTCAATTGTGCAATCACTAGCAAATACGCGCGCGCGCTTCCTACTATATGTATGCTATACCACAATAAATTATCAATGCAACATACCTAATACATCCAATGGTGTATCATAATCTTCGTCTGTGAATACTTTCTTGGGAAAAGTAGTCATTAATTGAAAAGGACCATTACCATCTGTCCTATTCATTTCAATAAACAGCCTCACTGCGGACAATTGTTCTTTGCTTCCAAAGCTTTGTGTCAAAGTTTGTCCATTAGTAAGCCTAAGCTAAAAAATATCATTGTTTGAAACATATTGCATGTATATATAATATACTTTTATGTATGCATTTATTTTAGTACCTGAAGCCTGGTTTCAGTGTAATCCTTTCTATGATGCATAGATGTGGACGAAGTAATTGCAGACAAGGAAGCTGAAGCTGTATTAACTGACTGATCATTTTCAGCAGTTGCTTTAGCTCGTCTTGCTGCTTTATCAGCTTCAATTTGTGCTCTAACTCTTTCTCTTGCTTCTTTTTCTTCTGCCTTCTCCCGTTTTCTTTGCTCTAAGAGTTTCTTCATTTCTAACTCTTCCAATCTGTTACATAAGCAAAATATAGACTTACATATATTCTATCTAAAATGTACTATCCATTATTGATATTCTTACTTTTTCCTAGCTTCAGACATTTCCTTTCCTGACCGTATCCTATTTTTTTCCCTTTCAAGCGCATCTTTCTTTTCTTGTTCCTCTCTCTCCTTTCTTTTCTGTCTTAATTTTTCTTCCAACATTTTCAGTTGTTCCCTCTTCTCTTCTTCGGTAAGCGGTTTCTTTTCTTCTGTGCTTTCAGAAAATCTATCATGCCCAGACTTTGTGGCATGAAACTCAACTTCTAAGTTAGATTTGAACAGCTTCCCACATCTACAAAAATAGTTTGTAAACATAATAATATCCCATATATTCTTTCTGATAAAGTAATATTTATATACAAAAGATATAACGTATCAATCCCAATACATAATCAAATATTCCTACATTTAAAAACTTATTTTTGCGATTCAACATACACATCACATTTCATGGATTTAGCTGTCTCAGTCGTGGATACCAATTGATTGCTAGCACTAGCGACATTGTCCTGTATTGGTGTGTCAGCAGCTAGTGCTGGAGCACTCTCGCCTATGGAAGGTTCGGGTGCTGGTTCAGCTTCATCCGAATGAGCTAGCAGCCTAAAATAAAAAATCAATAACATGATTAATAACGTGATAGTTTATACTAAAGAGTTATGCGCATACCATTCCATCGCTGGTTCCACGCCTTTATTACCGGTGATCTCCAAAGCCTTCTCACTGTGCAACAAAATAATCAAATATCATCACAGGTTAGACTAAAACGATGTAACGTTTATTTCCGAACTTACGCCTTGGATATACTAAAACCCATGTCCACAAGAATATCTATAACGCCCGACGACATTTCGCGCTGTTCGTTGATACGTTCAACGTCAATATATCACTTTGAAATGTCTTTCAGATCAAGCTGCGCTGTGTACTCCGTTATCCGAAAATTAAATGTCACGTCGAATCGACGCGCTACTTATATGCCGACTTGCCGACCAGACTGAAAATTACTTGTAGCATGGCGACAGATTCGTTAGCGCCAATTTCAAATGTGGAGCCAGCTTCGACAAGTTGATTAATAACTTTCACAGATAACAATAGATAATAATATATCGCAAGATGTATTGATCAATTTTATATATATATATAAACACGTTATAAAAACAAACATTATATTAAAATATAATATAAAATGTTGAAAATATTCAATCGTATTTTGAATCAATTTTACTTATTTATATATATATTCAAGTCTGGCACAATCGTAAACCCAAACTTCAAGTGGAAACGCAATGTTATTTATTTTCACATTAAATATCGTTTTACATTCAACAAAAATATTCAAACGCTTTCCTTATATATGTTTAAATGTTTATTGGTAATACGATAAAAATTATGGTTCTAAATATAAGACAATGAGAGCGAACAGGAGACATAAAAAGATAATGAATTAAAAAAAAGTAATAAAGAAATTATGGCAAAAGAAAATATATATAATACACATCACTTAAATAAAACATTGTACTTAATAAGTAAGAAAATGTTCATTAACAGTTACATCATATATAGTCTTGAATTAACATAACACAATTGAAAATTTATTATTCAGCACCGGAACATCTTCAATCAAATGCGCTTTATTAAGACTGCAATTATACTTTCAACAGTGCCCAAGATAGGACAGCGATGTAAAAACATGAATGAAAATAGTATATATAGTAGAATATCTACTCCAAAATCTCTATATATTATTATTTGCCTGCAGATTGTCAATTAAGCATGCAAGAAAAAAATGTCATAGATCCAAATGTAAAATCTGCTGCTGAGATTTATAGGGATATTGTTTTTTTTCCTCTTGTTTCAAGAAAGAGAGACATATTTCTAAAGTATATGATAAAGAGTTATAAATGTATAATAATCTAATATTCCTGTGACGCTTTGTCGCCTTTTCCAGAACCACCAGTACCAGTTTTCTTCGGCAACAGGACTGCTTGAATATTAGGCAGAACACCACCTTGAGCAATGGTCACACCAGACAATAATTTATTTAGTTCCTCGTCATTACGAATAGCCAACTGCAAGTGACGTGGGATTATCCTGCAGAGGATAAATGTTTGCACAAATTAAACAAAATAAATAATGACAAATAAGTACATAAATGATAAATAAATATAGAAATAGAAAATGTAGAAACACTTTACATAGTAGTAGTATATAACCATATATAAAACTCTCCTTTTTGTTTATGTTATTATGTGTGTATAAATATACAATATATTATTTATACAATCAATTTGTATCAAACAATGTTAAATACACACATACTTATACACACATAACAAAAGTTTCCAATCAAAAACAAAGATTAGTATATATCAAAATAATAAAACGTGATTGATATTTCCTTGAAGTAAAAAAAAACGTAGCGTTATACGCGTTATACATGTAGGGTATAACTTGTATAATGCGTATATATTTCAAGGTAATGTCAAGAACGATCGAGAAATAATTTTCACAAATCAGTTAATGATGTGATTTCCTTCTATAAAGATAAGGACACGAAAGAAATCGAGAGCAACGCGAACGCGAGATAGAAACAGGAAGTCGCAGCACGAAGCGCGAGAGAGAAAAGGAGAAAGATAAACGGAGAGACAAAGAAAGCTAACGCACAAGAGATAACGAGAAAAAGAAAGAAAGAGAGAGAGAGAGAGAGAGAGAGAGAGAGAGAGAAACGATGAAATGAAGGAAGGGCTTGCCTAGTCTTTTTATTGTCCCTGGCGGCATTTCCAGCCAACTCGAGCACTTCAGCCGCCAAATACTCCATCACGGCAGCGAGATAAACCGGCGCACCGGCGCCGACACGTTCCGCATAGTTGCCTTTCCTGAGGAGACGATGGATCCTCCCCACGGGAAACTGCAGCCCTGCCCTGCTGCTGCGAGTCTTCGCCTTTCCCTTGGTCTTGCCTGGAAAGAGTCAGACCGAAGATTGTCATCGTCGTTTGCCGGCATACAGCGGAACGAAAGAAATTCTTTTTTTTCTTTTCCTTTACTCACCGCCTTTGCCGCGTCCGGACATGTCTCACTGAATCGAATGCGATTGCTCTTCCGTGTATGAGAGAGATAGTCTACGAACTGGATATGTCGACACGCCAACACCGAGCGCTGAAAGCCGAATGAAGCAGCGGCCAGCGGCCCGCGCAACCAACGGTTACGCGCATGCACATTCAGATATTTTGACGGCGATTGTGTCAGGAAGGCGTTCGTTTGCGCGGGAACGAGCGCGCCAAGACACGTCGCTAAAAATCTCTAGCTATCTAGCGCGAGTGTTATTTTATATCACTAGAACCATTGGCAAAATATTGTTCAAGATATGCAACTGTGCATAAATATTCTTCTCATAGGGAGTTTAAATATTCCGCAAATCGAACGAGGCAATCTAAAGTATCGATTCTGTAATTCAAGTGAGAGTGAAAATTATATGACAATAATCAGCAAATTTACTAGAAAATCTATAATTTCATTGGTCCAAATCTAGTATCGATACTCAGAGTATCGATTAGCTGTACCATGTCCACTATATATCTCATGAAGTTGGACATATTTGGAGAATATTCGAACCGTGCGCAATCTATCTCCATAACTCGTGCTAGAAAAGCAGAAGCCGATCAGAACTCGCGCTAAAAAAGCAGAATGTACTGCTTATTTTCAGCGCGAGTTCTGATTGGCTTCTGCTTTTCTAGCACGAGTTCTGATTGGCTGGTATGAATTCTCCCTAAGGGTACATCTCCAGGAGGCCTATCAGCAATCCAGATATATAGATCGGTAGGTGCACCCGGGTAGGGAATCGGAACACAGCACTGGTCTAGTTTCCACCGAAGTATTAATTCGCATCTAGTGCGGCGTAAGACTAAATTTAAGTCGATGGAAATACGACTGACTGTGTTCATTTCACTCTCACTCCGATCTACAAGCTTTGTCGGAATGGCAGCGAATTGACACGAAATTTATGGCGAATTCGATTGATGTGCACTCGCTCCGTTTCAGTGGCTAGTAACTTTTTGTTACCAGACGCACATGGTTGGAGCGCATAGTTTAATACTGACCCGAATGCGATTATTTGCACTGACTTGGGAGCGATTACAGGCACTGATCCCAATATAGTGCATTTAGTAACTTTTTTAGTGGTGCCCACATGTGCAATATGCGACTTGTAATCAACAAGAGAGCAGAGAAAAACCTACAGTAATCAAAGAGAGATACTTTAAATATGAAATAATATAATAAATATTTAAACTATACATTGAAATTATGTGTGATAATATCTCTTTATCAGAATTGCCAAGGTGTGAAGCCGGCCTTATACAGAACGCAATCAACGCCAAAAATTTTTGGCGCGAATACTCTGATAGCTTGAAGGTTAAGTGGAATTCGATAAACCATCGCTTCTCTACTTTCTTTATTTATTACATCGTGATACGTGCGAGAATCATACCTGTTAATTTTAATCGAGATAATGAAATTTACTACTCCTGAAATTTCGTGGCACAATCGTGACCCGGTGCTGAGCGTTGATATACAGAATGGTATATGCAAAAATTTGAAAGGAGAACCGTTTTGGAGAGTGGCGACTGGAGGAGCGGACTGTCACGTTTTGGTAATATAGAAAGATTATATATAAAGACACTATATATCATATATATAAAATTGCATTTATATATAGAAAAAGCATTGTTTTAATTAGTATAGAAATAATGGAATAAACATACTGATAACAGGATAGATTTATACAATCCTATCAAAACTACCAAATATTTTCTATATTTTCTGAAAGGCAAGAATTTTCTAATAATATCTTTCTAAAGAGTACAATTAATTCTATATTATAATATAGTCAAAAGTATGACAAAATTGAGTTTGTATGTATGTATGTATGTGCAGAATATATTTTAAACAATTGTGTTTAAGCATAGATCTGGCATTTAACAACAACCAAGTATGGCGGAGCTACTGTGAATTTTGCAATAGACTTGGATCGTCATCAAAAGGCAGTAAATATTGTGAGATTTTCCCCATCAAAAGAAATTCTAGCATCAGGAGATGATGGTTAGCTATTGTTATATCTACATGATGTTATTACATCGTTTTTATATTATTTTTGTTTTGACATATTAATAATAATACTGATTTTAATATACAGAATCAGTTATTATCTTGTGGAAAGTCAAGGAGAGAGAGGGACGAGATTCTTCTCCACCTTCAAGTGATACCGAAACTAAAGAACAATGGACTTCTTGGAAAGTATTGAGAGGTCATATTGAAGATATTTATGACATCAGTTGGTCACCAGACTCTAATTCTTTAATTTCTGGATCTGTTGATAACACTGCTATATTATGGGATATTAAAAAAGGACGTAAAACTGCGATATTATCAGATCATAAAGGTTTTGTTCAAGGGGTGTCCTGGGATCCCCTCAATCAATATGTATGCACTATAAGCACAGACAGGTATGTAATCCATATTATATATTATGCCAATTATGATAAAACATTTTATATTGTTCAGTTTTGTATTAAAAGACATGTTTTTTGTTTTTTAGACATTTTCGTTTAATAAACATTGCTACAAAGAAAATTGTTCAACGAGTTTATAAGTCCACAATTCCAACACCATTTGGTAGCCCATTGGAGGGGAAGATTGTACGTTTATTTTACGACGACACATTTAAATCATTCTTTCGTAGGCTGACCTTCTCAATAGATGGATCACTGATTTTTGTTCCCTCTGGAATAATTGAATCACATGAAACTACAGAAACTATATCAAATGCGACGATTGTGTTCTCCAGGAAAAATATGAAAGAGTCAGTATTAAAATTCCTGATTCTCTGAATTTCATTTAGAAAAAATCTTATCAATTTTAATAATGTGTTTTTTAGACCAATAATGATTTTGCCTACTATGAATGAGTGTACTATAGCAATAAGATGTTGTCCGGTATATTTTGAATTGCGGGAGAATGGACCAAATGCACTGATAACATTGCCTTATAGGATGATATTTGCAGTTGCAACACAAAGTTCTGTATTAATTTACGATACGCAACAAACTTGTCCAATTGGTGTAATATCACTTATTCATTATGGTAGATTGAATGATCTCTCATGGTAATTATCATATTATTATTATCTAGTTATTATATACTTCTGCTTAAGTTACTTCTAATATTCAACTTCTTTTTTTTCTTCTGTAGGTCCAGTGATGGCCAAATTTTAATTGTATCTTCGAGCGATGGCTATTGCTCCATAATACAGTTTCAAGAAGGTGAACTAGGTAAAATTTATAAAATGAAAAATCCTGTAAATACAGTCTTAACAGATAAATGTAAAAGTTCTGGCAAAAACTCAAGAAATATAGACAAAGACAGTGTAATCAAAAGCAGCATTTCAACATTTGATGTTGACGATTGTGCAATGGATATTGATATTGTAAAATCTGATACAATCGATACAATAGTACATCAACCTGAAGAACATAATAAACAGAAATTGAGTGAAGTAGTAGATGGTCAAAGTATTAAATCAGAGATCAGTGCTTTACAAATAGACAAGAAATCAAGTGAGGATGCAGAAGAAACAGAAGATATCAAGTTAGTGTATAATGAGGAAAGTAATAGTAATATGAACAAAACTAAAATCAGGAATACTCCACCAAAACCTGATGTTGCTCCTGTAAAATGTCATAAAACCCCTAGAAGAGTAAAATTAATAACTTTGTCGAGTCCAAAAGAACTTAAAAAATAATTGCTCTTATGTACACAAAAATAGATACTTTTCTGAAACTTATTATATAGTTTAATTATGTAATTATTTTTTTATACTGTATAGCGGATGCCGACCACGAGATCGTATATATTTCTTCAAGATGACTATATTGTAAGAAATATAAATTTTATATTATAAATAATGTGTGAAAGAGTTTTTTTTTTTTTTATACAAGATATCTTTAAATTCGAACGAAGTTTAAAGAAAAGCATTCTTA